AAGTGAATGCTCAATTTTTAATTCGAATACGCCCGAATTATTATCATTAACTATATTAATCAAGGGTCGAGCAGTAGCTCAAGCGGTTAGTCGCTGGCTTCCCACCGCGGCGGCCCGGGTTCGATCCCGGGCCTGGTCAAGTGGGATTTGTAGTGGACAAAGCGGCGCTGAGGCGGGTTTTCTCCTAGTATTTCGGTTTCCCCTGCCAATCTTCATTCCACCAACTGCTCCACAATCACCCTCACCTATCATCTGGGCTGGTAAAATAGGCCAGAAGTGACCGCAGTACAACTGACTTAGTCCCACCCCACTAGCAATAAAGAACTATATTAATTAATTACTATTAATTATAAATTCAAATAATCATTTCGCAAAGTACCTGCCTTTCTCTTTCACAAGTAAAAAACAATATTGTTCTCAACAATTCCGGGTGTCGGCGATCTTCAATATTATGAAAAAACTGACTAAAAATAAATTCAAACTACTACCACAGGAGAAGAGTTATATATTGTAACGTGTTTATAACGCCGTAAATTAAACCGACGTTTCGGTGGAACATGTCACCTCGAACTTCAGGGCTGGACAGTAAGCCATGCAAGAAACCAGCATGCAGGAGGCAACAAGCGGAGTTATGTGGTTAGTTAGCTAGTTGGTCGGTTACACGACCCGAGATTTGCGTAACGTTTCGGCACGAAGGAACCTAGAATAAACTAAGAGCAAACAGTGGATAACACCAATAAATATCTCATGCAAGAATCGAAAGAACGCATCTTCTTCCATCCCGTGTTCCTTATTTATGGAGGTAAAAGGTAATGTTATCCACGTAACAGGCAGTGGAAGAACGTACCGTTGTCAAAAATAGAGGTTCCCACATCTTCTTGACAATCGGCACACACCGGGCGCCCTTTACCCCCCGGGAATATTCCTGGTACGCATTTCTGTTAGAGGCTAAGTCGACTCCAGGGTCATAGTGCGGCTGGAAGGATTAAGTCAATTGAAAAAATCCAATGAACTCATCGGGAATCGAACCCGCGACCTTCTGGATTGTAGCGTAGTTCCTCAAACAACTACGCTACCGCATGCCCACATGTTTCTTACTTATAGAAAAAAAAAAGTAAAGGTATCCCTGTTACAGGCCGTAGGGGCCCATAGGGTTGTGAGATATTGAGGTTCCCACATTTTCTAGACAATCGGCTCATAGATGGCGGTAAAGCTGTCAGCCTTACGCACCGGCCGCCCTTTACCCCTCAAAATATTCCAAGAATATTCCTGGTACTCATTTCTGTTAGAGGCTGAGTTGACCACTGGGCAATAGTGCAGCTTCTAATTAAAAATGAATAGCAGTCCAGTTCACCAAACCATCATCATCACGACAGGTACAGGAAAAAAATACAATAAAATTTATTTACACCGTTGAGTTTCTCTTTTTATTGGGGGGGGCGCAAATCAAGCAGAGAAGTTCGACATACCTCGAGTCGAGCCGAGACGGCCCACGGCGCATAACTAGCTCACTTCACGGGTCTTGAAAACTCAATATACGGGGAATATTTTTACTCACTTGACAAGTACGCGGCTCTGCGCTTCATGACGACCGGTGCGCTGCTTGCCGGTAGGCGCATACGAATTTTGCCGATGAATCGGCAAGCCTGACGGCCGATAACGTTTGGAATTAAGTAGTTACAATTCACTGATTACAAGAAGTGTTGAAAATGCTGTAGGTATTTTTCGCAATTAATTGTTTCATTAAAAAACACAGGCACGACAATCTTTCTTGCTCTTACGGCACACCAGACACCAACTTTCACTGGATGGCTTCAGCAATTGTGTGTTGCCGTTCTTGCACTAACTTTGAAACTGTCTCTTGAGCTAGACGTTTCAGTGGTTTTCTAGGTGTATGTTCAAGTTTTGCCTATATGTCATCTAATTTCTCGTCGGTAAGCACTCGACGCTTATGTTGTTGTTTCTTGTCTATTAACAATCCCGTCGTTCTAAGTTTATTCACAATATTACGTATTGTCTGTCTGCTGGAAACTCTTTCAGCACTAAATGGTGCATAACACTCAGGATTGCTGAGTTTGACTTCGTCCGTTCGAACGTGCGAAGACAGTTCATGCCTTAGAACGAGCGGCCACTGTGATCAGCAGAACACTACCTACATTGCTATAATGTGTTACAATATTAGGATAAATACTACATGAAACATCACAAACTAGTGGGACATCATCGGAGCTGAGTGTTATGAAACTCAGACGTTTTCAATATCAAGACTACATACTGTCAGAATGGGTGGGGATTTGGAAGGAAGCTGTCGTGACCTAAACGAGGTAGTATCTCCGCATTAGTCTAGGAATACTGGGGAAAATTATATGAACTCCGTCAGGGTGATCGATGACCCGGCGGAGGTTCAATCACAGCACCTTCCGAATACAAGGTTACAGCGTTACCTCTAGACCAATCCGTTCAATGATAAGTCCGTAAGATCTGAAGCGAAAACAACATAACATTCGCTCCCAACTAATCAAATGTGGTGATTTCCCAAAGCTGGATAAGAATTACATACAAACCTTGCTCCTATTATGAGAAGTAATGGAGCAGTTACTGCCGCTAAGAGGCTTAATTTCCATAACTATTCCACTAGCATTCAATATGGGCTGCTCTCATAGTTAATCGTAAATTCGTTTCTGCCGCAATCAAGAGGATGTTGTGCTCGAATGTGTAGCACTCTTAGCTCCAGGGCGACTGGTTATGCTGAATTATATCATGATTTTCTTCAGTTTCCAGCAGGCGTTATTGTCTGAACTACCAACAACATAATTAAAAAAACGCCACAAACCGTCAACCCAAACAAATACCTGCTGACATGATACGCGGAAGCTGACTTCGCTTGCAATCCGCTGACGTAGTTCCTTAACCATTCGCTATCTATGAAGTTACATACGTCAAATGTGACAGTCTGTCTTATTAGTATCTTCATATAGTAAGTGTTACACAGCCTATTGCTTATTAAACGCTGCAACATAAATAACACACACTTCTTAAAATTCACACGTTTGTGAAATGTACCTGCCGCAAACTGAGTGAAATAATGACTAGTTCTAAAGCACGTTTAACTCAACATCACGTAAATGGGATCGTTGGTGTTTAAATAAGTTCTGACTGCTGCAGTAAACATGACAACGTTGCGTAAAACTTTGCTTCTACGCCTTTTAGCCTATAAAACTAGTCCAGTCCACGCATGCCATGGCACAAACTCAGCATGCATCGCGACTCGCAACATGATACATGTGACAACAGTTTCGTACGATATGCACGATATAAGTTGGATGACATTTATCTTACCGTATCTTGGAATACCTGGCGTGGGGTCCTGCGGACTCCGTTCATCGTCCTTATTTCTTCTTCCTCTTTCACTTCTTGCACTAGGTTTTTAAACCGAAATCCACTTTAGCATGCGTTAGCTCATACATACACCACACATCCAACTCCTTACGAACACCACGCTTCTCTTCTCGCCGCCATAACCACAGCAACAGGTGATCACTGCTACCAACATCACAGACGTCAATTTCACTACAAGCATTTCGCCAGTAGTTCGGCTACCCACCTTAATTAATCACAAAGTTCGAGGGTACATCAAGGAAACTGGCAACCGCAACGCAACCGCCGATTTCAAGCAGGCAACTGTTTTCTAGATTAGCGGGGGCACGCTGGGGAAACTTAAGTTCTATTAGTTGCTCACATCATCTTAAGTAGGAATGTTCGTCGGACATAATGCATGATTGTATTTTTTAATTTCGTGCACTTACCTTCTGCAGTGGAAGATAATAATACTGATCTATAATCTATGATACAGTCATCAATTATACAGAACATACAAAATTTGTGGGAGTTTGGTTGGATAAGAATCTAAGGTGAACTGCACATACTCAACAATTAGCAAATAAATTATGTAAAATATGTTTTGCCTTACAAGTAGTCAGAAGAGTATCAGGGTTAGAGACTGTTCGCACCTTATATTATGCTTATTTTCAATCCCTGTTATCATATGGATTGAAATTTTGGGGCAATTCAGGAAATGCAAAATTGATCTTTAGGTTGCAGAAGAGAGCTATTAGAGCTATGATACAAATCCCAAAAACAATTAGTTGTAAATAATATTTTAAATCATTACATATTTTACCTTTACCATGTCTGTATATATATGAAATTCTAGTTTACATAAAAACCAAACTGAATATTTTCATAACCAATTCAGAAATACACTCACACAATACAAGGAGAAAAGAGAATTTGTTCATAGTGTCATGTAATACGAGTCTATACAAAAACAATTTCAATAATATTGGACTTTGTATGTTAAATCAGTTGCCACAGTATATTAAAGAGATACCAGTACTATACAAGTTTAAAATGACTTTGAAAACATTCCTCCTTGATCATTGTTTCTATAGTATAGATGAGTTTCTCTTGTTTGGGGGCAAATCCTAGTTCTAATCACTTGTAAACATATATTTCAAGAATAATTAACTTGTAGATTTTAATATTAGTAATGTTATAGGAATGCCTACTGCCCTGCTCTGTATTTTTTCTTACAGGAACGAAATCGAGGATACCAGGGAATTTTGTGCTGGGATCGGGTCTTGAGGCATACAGCGGTGTCCTGTGTTAAACGATTATATTAGTTCTATTATTAGAATCATCACTGTATTATCTTTAATTAATGTATAAGGGGTGGGCCTTCTTTGCCCTTGCACCGCGACCACAGTGATCTATTGTACCTTTGTCTTATCTTACTATATTATGATTATATTATTATATCATTATATTAGTTATTATATTATTTTTATTTATTAATATAAAGTATTTGACTTGTCATATATCATGTATAATGATCCATGGATATGAAGTAAATAAATAAATAAATAAATAGATCCTGTCATAATGTGGTAGTTGAGACGGCGTAAGAAGGTGGGACGACGACCATAAGAGAAATTTTGGGATGTTAATAAATATTCAATTTATTTTAATCAGGAAATAACACAGTTGCGATACAAAATTTTGACATACACTGCAACAGTTTTAGCAAGATAGGGGACACTTAATGATGGCCGCATATAGATGAACCATGTAATGTGGAAGAAGGGCGTCTATAAAATAAGTTTTATTTAAGACGCAAAATATATGTGAAATAAATGATATATTAATGCAACAGGATGGTTAAATACAATATTAGGAAAAGACGACATTGGGTGCATCCTTTCTTCTGTGACAATTTAAACCGAAGCGTTTATATCTTTTTGGATAAACCTGGATCTTAGCCTGCTTGAAATCGGCGACATTTCTCAGAAATCACAGTTGCCATTTTCCTTGGAGTGCCCTCGCTCTAAGATTTCTAGGAATCTCTCTGGGATAGACCCAAGGATATCGTTGTTAGCTTTGATGTAGCCTCACTCTTCAACAGGGTGCTGATCATGGGGGCCTTGAACCTCCTAAGTCAATATTTTGAAGAAGATATTCTGAGGCTCCTCCACCATGTCCTAACTTCTTCCTTCTTGAGCTTCGCCAGTCAGCTAAACATACGTACAGTGTTAAATATAGTTTCACCACTGTGTCAGGTGACTGCCAGCTACTACAGGGAGGATTCTGAGATGACAACCCATTAGCACCTCTGCCACTTCTGTTACATGGCTACCTTCATCATCTGTCACCAAGGCTCAAAGAAGCTGCAATGCTTCTTTAATGAATCTTTTAAGAAATAAATTATAAGTGTGTAGAATGGATTTATCTGCGTTAGGATATGAACTGGTTAGTGGCTGTTGAAAACTAACTTGTTTAAGCTACCACATTCAGGACAATTAAGTGAAACACTCAGATAAGCCATGGACCAGATTACAGAACTGCTCTTCTCAACTTGTACATAGTTTTGGCTTTACTGCTGAGATGAGAGTTATGTTCGTTTTTTGCCTGTATCTTAGCATGCTTCAGAAACACACTTTTGCATTCTGTGGTGCTTGGCAGCAGTGAACATTTTTCCAGAAATAATCATAGGCCTAGTGTACCTAAACCTCAGTCACAATGAATTAAATTCAGTTTTCCACCTCTGCCTATGTCTTCAGAGTGGTCTCTTCTTTTAGCATTTCATTACATCTTTGATTCGTTATATTTGCCATTTTATTATCAATTTACATCATCTGTCTGTAATGAACAGAATGCAAGTAGTCCAAACGAAAGTGTGGACATCTTTACAGTAGGTACTGTAGTTACTTTTCCAACTTTATTAAATATTTCCATTCCATCTTTTCCTTTCATGCCAATCTGCTGGGTTCCTCCCCCACCCCCCAAAAAAAAAAGAAAAGGGGGGGGGAAAGAAAATGGCCACAGAGAGTTCATCTGCTTCATAACAAGTATTTCTTCAGCATCATTTGGTTCCTTTAAGCCTTTCACAATTTCCTCGCTAAATTTTGTAATGGATTTTTTTTATTTTCTTCTAAGAAAGTGACTACTGATTACTGCTGTCATGAGACACATTCTGTACAACCTGATTATTCTTTGCACATCTTGTCTCCACAACAGTAGAGGTAAGCTTACATATTTTTGGGTATGTGCATCCCAAATTTAACTTGCATTATGAAAGTGTATTTGAAATGCTGTTGTCTTGAATGTGCTGTTGGGCACACACATTTACCAAATGGAGCAATCAGCACTATGAGACAGAATGAGACTTGTCCTCTTGAGCATTCACAGGGATTCAAGGGGACTCTGCACCACACAGAGATGTTCTGTTTGTCAGGAGGAATGATGGAAAATGTGGGACAAGATGCTTCTCTCCTGAAGGTAGAAATCTTCTATTCCAAATGAGGAGGCAGTTTCATCCAAAACCTCAGTACCTGTGTAACAAACTTACAGTCATATACCAGAAGGCCAAGCCCTTAATGCTGACCACCATTAATAACCTCAAGCCTCCTATAAAACTCCAACTGTCTCACCACTGTACACACTGAGCCACCAAAATTTTGATACCTAGTAATAATTTTCTTTTAACTTACTTTTTCTGAAGAATGGCAAAATATTTTTATTGCTTATATTTTTCTCTGTTGCACCATTTAATAGGCACAGGATGGGGCAGTCACTGACTGTTATGCACAAGACTACTCTCCTGATAGAGTATCCACCAAATGTCCTACTCAAGAGACTTCCTATGAAAATGAACGAGTTAAAAAAACACATTCATATTTGGAAGTCTAAATCACTGTAACTTCAATAAAAATTTCCATTTTATAAAAAATAGGTTTGGGCCCTAATGGGAGGCGTGGTGCTGCTACCAGTCCTGTTAGGTCAGTTTGAAGTTCACGGTGACTCTTGTCGATCTCAAAACAGGATGCAATTGATCACGACTGTTTCACTTCTTTCTTATGATTAATGTTGTATGCCTTGCAGTAGAAGTCATTGAAAAGATAGTAGAAGAAGATGGCATTTGGCAGAGTGAAGAAAAGTGACCATCGTGGGTACCCACAGTCGTGGAAAAGCAGCTGCAGTGAATGGAGGAAAGCAACACAGAACTGACCCTGAAACATAAAAGAAATCAGAGCTCTGTTAGCGCTCAATTGTGACAATTGGTATCAAAAGAAATTCTGACTTCAATAAAGATAAGATTTTGCTTGTAATAGATGCTCAAGTAATAAATGCAATCTTGTAGCACACATGATTCTCATTACAGCTATAGTTGAACTTTGGCCACTTCTAACCTCAAAGGATTCAAATATCATATTACACTTGAATGCAAGCCAAAGTGTTCTCAGTACCATCCACTTCTAGTCACAATATCAGAAATCCAAGGTGAATTACTCTCCTCACATGCTCTCAGTGACCCCAGAAAACAGTGCGAGGAAGAGACAGAACACCTCAAAAAGTCTTCTACTTTCATTCTGCACTACTGCACTACATTTTGGTGCTTTTTAAACACTGGTGTTTGTCCTTCTCACTCCATGTGAGGAAATAACCTTCAATTTTTATTTGTAAGCGTTATATTTATTACGAACAATAACTTGAATATAGTATATTTTTCCTAAAATTTAGGATCATGACACATGATGTACATGACTGCACCAAATGCTGCTAAAACTGGCAAGGAAAACTGGAAGAACTGCAAGTCACATTAATTTCTGATGAAAGCAAATAATACTACTTAAAGAAAAATAAAGAACATGCTAAACACTGAGTTTTAATAGATGTTTCATATGCCTTCATAATGCATACTCCTGATAGTGAGGCAAATGGTTTTAACTCACTCATATACACCTGTTGTTTACTGTGATACTGTCCTATATTATGGCTTATTTAATGATGCAGCCAGCAGCACTGTTTGGTAAGATGAAGAGTGATTAAAGAATTGCAGTATCATCGTAAAAGACATCTTGAACAGTTACACCCCTCAATACTTAAGTATTAGAAGCCTATCAGGTGTAATCAGTTTAACAGGAATATGGATACATTTGTCCATTACTTGTTTCAGTCATTACTGGTCACCATCAGAAGGCAAAGTCAACAGTATAAAGGAAATGTGTTACATATGTTTCTCCTAAGCATAGTTTGTTAATGTAATAACACAGAGGGATTTATATTTCAAGAAGAAATCAAGACTAAATAGTTAATTCAGTTAAAATAAGTTATGAATATTAAGTGTAAATAGTTAAAACCAGTATAAAATAAGTTTGATTTTATTCATTCTGGTCCATCACACTAGTTAATTATTATAAAATGATCTGACAACACCATCCACTGTGACATATAATGTCTTTACATGTTTCGATCAGTTGTGACCATCTTCAGAAGGCACTAACAACATGTTAAGGAACTACATTACATAGATTGTAGTATATAAGCTTATATTTTTGTATAAAGATTTTTAATTAAGTTAAAAGGTGTTTAAGCTAAAAATAAATTATTAATATTCTTAATGTTTAAAATCTTGAACCGCTGAGGTTTGTGTCTCTCTGCCTGTTCTGGGCAAACCCACAAAAATCAATATGAACAAACTGGTACATATACACTAATATGTCTGGCCTACCATAAATCATTCATCAGACAAACAAGGCGTTCTTCCAGGGATCGGTATGATCTCAGTAATTACTAAATATTGATAATGTTTCAATATAAAAATAAAAATGATATACAGCTAAAATGTTCCTATATTATATTTGCAGATGGACATATTGCCCCCAATAGAACAGTTAACAAAATTCTACGTAACCAACAACAGAAACGAAGGACATCATCACATTGTTCTGTCTACTCAAAAAGAATTTTTAAATGTATTTTAAACCGGTTTTATTCATTTACATTTAACATTCACTATTTCTTTTAGCTGCATAAATTATTTAGTCTTAATTTCTGTAACTGTTTTAAGTCCCTCTGTGTTATTATAATGACAATCTATGCTCAACAACATATTTGACACAGTCCGTTTATGATGTTGGCTGTGCTTACTGAGGACAGCCAACTACGGCCGTACATATAAAGGGAAAATTTTTATTTACATCTATTAAATTATTTATATTTTATGGACTTCAACTATTTATTTATGTCATTAACTGGAAAGAATTTGCAAGAAAGTGGTGATGGTCTAAACTGGCTTCAGATTGGAGCAAATGAAGGAAAGTTTGAAATTCTCAGTAGGGTAGTCAGTGTTCTGGGTAAGATGCAGAGCAGATTTCTTTAAAATATGAGTCAGAAACAATATCACCTCAACTAATTTTCTCACCACTTTTTCTTATCATATATTTAATTCATGTAATACCTTGCAATAACCAACACTGGGGTCACGAGTAAGGGTCTGATTGAATTTACAAAGTTACATACAATTCCCTTAATTTTCTCCCCCCTGATACACCTGCTGTGTATGTGTTTACACCTTGCACACCTATCTTTTTGTCTATTTCTTATGCCATTTACCCATAACATAGCAACAGAAAACATTCAAATGTTCATTATTTAACAACTAACATCCAATGAAAATAATGGATGCCCTTCAAAACATTTTTACCAAAATGTCTTTCCCCCCTTTCTGCCACATTCCCTTCCCATCCATTTCACTTGCCATACCTTTGTACCTCTCCTTTCCATTAAAACAGTTTAGTAAACAGCATTGGTCATTTAACAGATAATGCCAACTGTTCTAGCAGCATTCTGTGCTTATATTACTTTCAGTTTCTCCCATGTTGTAGCAACAGTTGCTACAACTGAGTGTGACAGAGACAGATTATTAAAGATTTTTTGATGCTTTATCAATTGCAAATGTCATGTACTGCTGAAAATAATCAAATTACATATGGTGATTTTGAAAACATGGCAGGGGAAGACTAAGGGTGCCAGTCAGAATAATAAAGGTTCTCACCAACTTAATCCATAGGCAAGCTATTGTAAGATATGAATGAATTAAGGATTAATTGTAATACCATCTGCAGGGTCGTGATGTGCTTCTTCCACCAGAGATACTTCTGGTACTGTGGTCCCATGGCAGACATCATGTAGTAGAAATACATGATGATATGAACAAATGAGTTTATGACTCCTATGAAGGTGCCATGCCCCCCAGGGTAGTACTTCGTGCATCCCCATGAGATCATCGGCATCACAGTATGATGATACATGTGCAGGAAAGTGATTTGTTTCTCCTTCTTCCGTAGAACAAAGAACACCTGCATATAACAAAAAATTCAAGTTGCTGAAAACAGTGTTTCAGTTTCTATTGTGACACTAGAACAATGATTTACAATTAACTGAACTATTCCTGTGTGCAGCTAATCTATTTAACACCTCAAATTCCGTCACCATTGCCATGTCACTGTGTGTAGTCTGTGGGAACATCCCACATAATCACGCATTTCTGCAACACTCGCTCTTCACATCACTTTTCACCATCACGCGCGCTAACCAATCAGATTGCTTCAAACGATCGCATTTATACTACGCTCGGCGATAGCCCGCCGCGCTAGCCAATCAATTCTTGCTCCTCACTTTCGAGTTTGGCTCCGCCCCACCGACCAGCGTATAAAAAGGAGCGACCCCAGAGCCGAGTTATTCAGTTCGATTCAGTTCACTTCAGCAAGCAACTTCAGCCAGCAGGCTTCGTCGCCAGCGCTCGGTCTTCGGATACATCGGCAGGCTGCGCCGGGCACGACTGCCTCGGCCCTCCAGCGCTCTCACACCCGACTCACTGGGGCACAGCGCCTGGACTCGCCGGTGGTCGCGTTACGGTCCGACCCACTGGGCCTCTGGCGTAGCCACTGCCTCATGGCTCCTACAACCGCGCTCGACTAGCCTTTCACCACCGGCAGCAACCTCCGCCATTTGCCGCGCCGCGATCAAGCAACCTCCAGCCACGGCCTAGCCTTTCCACTAGCCTTTCACCGCATGCGGCCAGGCCGCTCGCCTTTCTCCTTACCGGCGCGCGCCGCGCTACCTCACCGTCAAATCATCTCAGCAACCACGGTCCTTTTCAGGGCCAACAAATTGTTCCGAAGAAGTGGGTTGTCATAGGAGAATGACAAAGACACACGTTGACAAGAGCGCCCCACAAGTCTTATAAAGAGTGTGTCATACAGAATTTGTAAGAATGTTCANAACACCTCAAATTCCGTCACCATTGCCATGTCACTGTGTGTAGTCTTATAAAGAGTGTGTCATACAGAATTTGTAAGAATGTTCATGATTTATTTCCATATTGTGAAACGGAGTGTGAGGAAGAGGTGGGTTAAATTCCAGCACGTGCACGCCTTTCCTTCACGCAAGTTTTCAGACACCCTCTCTTCACAGTGAGCCTCATCACTTGTAAGTGTACTGGACTTTTCTACGAATGTAACTTCTATAAAACTTTGGTCACAAGGCAAGGAGGAGGAAGTTCAGGTGAGTATCACCAAGAGCTAGAAGTGTACAGCATTTGTGTGAGGTGAAACGGTGAATACAGTGAAACTGCAGTGACAGAATGTTGGAGTGGCATACACTGAAATAGCAGTGAACAAGAACAAACTGCTGTCAAGGTCATACATGGTTACTAAGATTAACTCCTTCAAATACAAGATGAACGCTACAGCTGGTGTCAGAAGTCGGATCGAAGATTGATTCAGCAGCGATCCTCTAGCAGTTGAATATGTTATGTGATGGCCAAGCATCAGCCAAGAAGAAATCAGGGACTTGCCAACTGAGTGACAAGTTAATAGAAGAATTTGCTGTGCCCATCAACCAGTTGGCCTACCTGTTCTCTGTTGACTTCTCTGAGGACTTCATCCAAAGATAGGCAGCCTATGATTTTGTCGATAAATCTGTGGACCAGGCCATGAAGCTAACCAAACCGGTTAGGGTAGACATGATGTTGAAGGACATGAAAGGACAAGGGGTAATCGGTTCAGACACTCCTTGGTCATCATCCATTGTTCCTGTCAGAAAGAAGAATGGTGATTTTGGGTTCTGTGTGGAATGCTGACAGCCAAACAAGATCACAGAAAAGGAACGTGCCCCACTGCCAAGAATAGATGACACCCTGGGCATAATTGCTGGGGCAAAGTTGTTCTCGACCCTGGATCCAGAGGTTCCCAAGGGCACACCTCAAACTAAACCACAAGAAATGTCAACTGTACCTGAAGAAAGTGCAGTAACTGGGGCATATCATATAAATATATATATGTTTGGAAATTCTTGAGTGGCAGCACAACTGACAGCTTCTCAAGAAGGGCTCATCTCCATGGAGTTCGTAGGACAGGGTAAAAGGGGCATGGAAACAAATCTCCATGAGATGTATCTGACTGATTGCAGAATTCCTGCAGCACAGCACTACTGTGTTCTATATTTCTGATATCTTGGCCAGTTATAACATCAATTATGCTCAACAGCTATGATACCCTGCTCAGTTATCACATCACTTACCGTGTCCAGTAGTTCTGATAACTTGGCCAGGAAGTATATGTACACATCTCGCGCCACCTGCAACAAAATCGTGTGGTATGTGTAAAGTTACAACCATTCTCTGTATTCAGCATCATTCAATTAAAGCAGTAAATAAAAGAATATTATTAATTAATATTATTTAAGCATACCAGAGGCCTTAGTCACCAAGGAACAATGAAAATAGTATGGTCAGGTAAATAGAACTGTTTAATTAATCAAACAAGGACTTTATTAAAGGATGAATCCACTGTAGTCTTGCTGAAGCTGAGGGTCTCACAGTGGCAACAGAATGTTTGTGAACTTGCACTGGACTACAGTGTCATATCCCAGAAGATATTAATCATCTTTGTAGTCTTAATTTTCAGTTTAACTAAAATAATACACCCCCAAAATCATTTCTTTTTCTCACATTAGCTACACTGTCCTCTTTTCTTATAAGTTATTTGAAAAGCATGGATGATAGAATGTTATTTGTAATTCCTTCTGACAAAAGTGCCTGTTACATGTACAGTGTATTATTATTACTAGTTATTTTAGAGAGGGTGGGTTTCCCCATGCACCGCGACCAGTTTGATCTATTGTGCTTCCCTCTATGATATTCTAGCAGTCTCTATACCCTACTGATAAATGGTGCGTACCATCAGTCCCGCCAAGCAAGCGAGTTCGGCTACTTGCTTAGCGGTGTCTATAACACTTCCCCCATCTATCAGAGGCCTTAGAGACTATTGTTGGGCGGGAAACGCCCTGGAATTTGGCTCAGTGATCCCCTATGGGGATATGAGGTTCTTTTACATGCCGTAAAGTTACGACACGGGACACACAGCTTAAAGTCCCTCCCAGAGGGAGGGAATTTTTCCGCCCTTAAAAATTCGACAACCTCCGCCGGGTATTTGAACCCGCGTACCACGAGTCATGAGGTGGGAACGTTACCTCTAGACTACGGAGGCCGCTTATGTGTACGGTGTATGTCTTTATGGTCTTGTTTCAGCTTCTACCAAGGCTAATAATAATTCTGCATCACTAATGCTAAATCATGAAAGATACTGTCAGAATTCCAGGGGGTCCAAGCAATACTGCATTGTAGCAGGTACAACTGCACAGATATCTGTGATTCTCATTGTACCATGAATAAATATAAACTATGAATAACACTGACTAACTCCTTGGAGCTGAGCCCTGCTTGAGATGCAGTCAGTTGTGCAGCCACATAGAAAATTCCCAACATTTTCAGGAAGCCAAAGCCTCATTACCATGTTCACAAGAGCCCATCACTGGTCTCTGTCCTCATCCAAATCAATCCAGTCCATACCATTCCAGCCTATCTGTCTAAAATCCATTTTAATATTATTGTATTTTTGCATCCTGTTGCATTAATATACTAACCAACCAAGCGACCGCTGCTTGTCAGCGTAGTTAGTGTAAAATTTAGAGGATTGAGAGTGTCACGTGGTCAGCGCAACGAATCCCCACTGCTGTTAATTTTGGTTTTCAAGACTGGAGCCACTCTTTCCTTCAAATAGCTTCTCAGTTACCCTCATGAGGCTGAGTGAGCCCCATTCCAGGCCCACTACTTCTCAGAAAATCTGGTAGTGCCGGGAATCAAACCCGGACCTCTGACTCTGTAGCCAGGAACTCTGACCACTAGATCACAGAGGTGGTCTCGTATTGAAGTTTTACTTGTTTTTAATTATTTTTAGTGATTTTAAATGGAGTATACTTATTTTAAATTGGAGATTTTGTTACGAGATTTCAATTCCAAAGTAGGTAAGGGAGACATTTTCAAACCAAAAATTGCGGATGAGACAGTACGTCAGCTATTCATAGACTTCAAGAAAGCCTATGATTCAGTTAGGAGGGAAGTATTGTACAATATTCTGATAGAGTTTGGGATACCCATGAAACTAGTTAGGTTGATTAAAATGTAGAGTAGAGTGAATTTACCGACTACACAACACGTTTTTTATTATCACTATATGTTTCGACCTCAAGAGGTCATCCTCAGGTGTATGAACACGGCTGTATAATTACACGTGGTCACATTCACTTTTCACTTCTCACTTGCAGGAGAGTACAAGTTATGAAGCTCCCCATTATACAATTTTCTTCAACCTCCTGTCACTTCATCCCTTTTAGGTCCAAATATTCTCCTCAACACCCTGTCCTCAAACACCCTCAGTCTATGTTCCTCCTTTAATGTCAGAGAATAAGTTTCCCATCCATACAGAACCACAGGAAAAATTATAGTTTTGTATGTTCTAATTTTTATGTTTTTAGACAGCAGATGAGAAGACAGAAGGTTCCTGACTGAACTGTAGCAAATCAGAATTCAATCTCTGCTTTATGTTCTCCTGATTTAAATTTTGATCTGTTACTCTCATTCCCAAATAACAGAACTGTTCCACATTTTCAAAGGATCTGTTAGCTATCTTTATGACATGAGTTTGCCCTGCATTCTTGTGATGCAACAGAAACATATACTCAATTTTCTCTGCATTCACTTCAAATCAACCTTCTTACTAGCGTCAATTAAAGTTTCTGTATTTTTCTTTGTGATCTCCCAATAGATTCACATCATGAGCATAGACCAACAGTTGATATGTCCCATTTAATTTCAGTTCCACCTGGTTTTTCTGGATCTTCCTAATGGTGTTGTATTCTACAGCAAATTTCAACAGCAATGGCAATAAAGCATTTCCTGTTGTTAGACCATTCTTGATGGGAAACACATCAGACAAATGTTTACCTATACAGACTTTACTGTATTTTTCACTTAAGCACGTTTTAACGTTTTAATAAACCTGACTAGTTTCATGGGAACCCCTAACTCAATGAGAATATTGTACAATACCTCTCTACTAATTGATTCATAGGCTTCCTTGAAGTACTGTCTCATTGTAAGGTTCTATAGAGTTAATAATCATTACTGGACAACTGCTTCATATTCATGAGCCTCCCACAAGATATGCAATAGCCCTGACCAGGCAGCACATTATCACACTCTTGGTTTTTAAATGGGGGCTTCACCTCTCACCCAGTACTTAACTGGTTACAGAATAATGACCTTAAGTTCATTTGTTGTTGGCTAGAGTACAGAACTCTGAAAGTCAGATTACAAAGTCTTATTCAAACCCACTACTCCGACAGGTAAGTTCTAAAATAAAGATATACCTTTGGTTTATTTTTTAGACTCCTCATAATGCAGCCTATTTAGTTCATGTGTTGTGACTGCTTACCCTCATTGCTTCCGGCGTGGTGGAGAAGTCCACTGGCTCACACTTCCAACTGTAGTCTCTAAGCCAAGCTGCATCCAGTCCCTTTGAAAAACGAAACACAAATCAGCTCAGTAACATGTGCAAAGGAATAAATGCTCACATTGAACCTGAGTGCATGACCATCTCAAGATGCTCTGTCAATTAAACCCAAGTTTCAACTTTGTTCTGCTTCCAATAAGAAACTGCAATGCTTGAACATGAACTCTTCAGTGAGTTGTCAGGAATGTGTAGCAACAACCTGCTTAACCCAGGTATATGTTCTAGTTGCATTTTATTGTACTATAGGACTGTCGATACCACTAGCAGTCTAGGTCTCCACGGTTCTACTGTGTGGGAGAAATGTCAGTATCTTCAACACTGAGCAGCTCAACAATTTGAGGGAGGCTGCAACACAATCAAACCATTTCACTAAACTTCCTCTTTTTAATTTATATAGGGCACAAATGAGCCCACAGAAACAGCAAATTTCCCTTCACTGGTTTATTCACTGCCCATGAAAATCCCTGGTTCATTACTGGCCATGACTTTTGGTTATTCCATTGTCAAGAACAGTATGACTTCCCATGATGATGTCAAACAGTGAACATGACTTTTCAAAGCTGGAAGTGATTGAGACATGAATGATACTGGTTCTGTGATGAGATACTGTGTAGTCCCACAGACTGGAATACAGGGTGTCACATCCCAGAAGACAGTACTATATATTTCACCACTGTGAGAACCTCAAATTCGACATATGAGTATATTAAGACAAATGACAGAAACACAGATAGTTGGATTAGCAAAAATTAACATGAAGTGACTCTGGAATAGGAATTGAAGATCCAGTATACAATATATACTGCACGGTGCTGTGGTTATGGGATAATAGGGTGTGTTCACGGTTCATTTGGCTCAGGACAGGGTTCAGTGGCAGGCCCTAATGAACACAGTAAAGAAATTTTGGGTTGCATAAAAGGCAGAGAATTTTATGATTAACTTAATATCTCTTGTTGTTTTCTTTTTTCTTTCAATATGATCTCTGTTACATGGAGTTAACCCAGTATCCATCTGACAGAAGAAAGAATTTACAAGAAATTCCAAGCCAGAATAGGCAGTGCTCTTCCCAAGACTTGGTTCAAGTATTTCCCAACATGTAACACTGCTTTTAACCCGCACTATAGGGCCGTGCCATAGCTCAAGTGGTTAGTCGCTAGCTTCCCACCACGGTAGCCCAGGTTCGATCCTGGGTCTGGTCAAGTGGGATTTGTGGTGGACAAAGTGGCGCTGGGGCAGGTTTCCGCCGAGTACTTCGGTTTCCCCTGCCAATCTTCATTCCACCAATTGCTCCACAATCACCCTCATCTAACATCTGGGGCTGGTACAATAGGCCAGAAGTGGCTGCAGTACAAAGGACTTAGTCCCAACCCACTAGCAATAAAAAAAAACCAACATTATGGGAGGACAAAACTGTGTGGCACAACATCTTGAGCTCACCTCGTAGAAGAGGAAAATGCTGATAAAAACTTGGACCATGTTGTAGATGATGAGCAAGTTTGTGAGCTGGTATGGCTTGCGATGCTTCATGTAGTGTGGTCCCCATGACAGAGCAAAGTATAGGTAAGTGGCCATAATGGTTAGGCCAGGCATTGGGCTCTTGATCAGGAACCAGTCGTTTGTCCGAGGATCTGAAACAGTAAATGTTTCTTAATGTATCCTACCAACTACCAAACTGAATATAAAGAAGATAGTATCTGACCATTCAGCACAACAGTTACCTTTATGTCTGAAACATAATGGAGCTGGTTATTCATGTCCATTTTTCGCTAAGTTCTTGAACAAAATATATAAATGGCCTTGAAAACACAAGCAAGATTGGAAAAATGTCACTCAGTAGCTATGTATATGATATTCACAGACTTTTCTCTAATTGTTTACTTTTTTCTTGCTAATCACCACCCCTCCATTGCTCAGTTATTCATCTTTCACAGCGTGTTGAGGTGTGCAACATTGATTCCCATCCTCAGTCTCTTAGTTCGGCGCTTCATCTCTGACATGGTTACAGGATTGTGAAAACGGGTTTAGTTTTTATTTAAATATCACACGATATGAATGGTGACAAGATATATCAATGAAACAGTAACTCAGGTAGGCCGCCATAATAGAGCAGTTCAGCCTACTTCAGAGATATCCTACATAGGATTTGTATCAGTCAGATTACACATTTAACTGTGTAGAGAAGAAATAAATTGTACTGCATGGGTGTAAGACTTGTATCAGCAGTATACGGACGTTGAGAAAGAGGTATGTAAAATCATGAGGAACAGGTCTGACAGACATATCTGCTGCAAACTGGAGTTTGTGCCTTTCTATTCTTACCAAATTTCAGTGGCCACTGAAAGTTCGATAGAAATTTATGTGTGACCCCATCTGTACCCTTCTTAAGTTCTTTGTGCCTTAGTTCAGTTGAGCTTCATGCCTTCAAACTGAAGAGCAACTGGGTAATTCTGGCAGATGGAAGATGAATCAAAGAATAAAAGCTGTGAAATGGTGGCCATTTTCACTGCACATGGTTCCAACATGGTTACAATGCAGTAATCAGAGGCCAGCTCCAGTGCCCACAATCCACTAGTCTTTAGAATGATAGGGAAAGTGAATCAAGTGCAGCCAGCTGTGTATCTCGGCAGACTAGAAGCACTTTCACTCCCTGACCAACCTTCATATTTGACTTCATCAAACGAGAAAGTAAGATACTCCAGTTTCGACTGCCCCCCCCCCTCGGCACTTGCTATAGTATTATCTTTGCCCCATAGGTTTTTATCGTTCAACAGTTGAACTGATCTCGTTAAATACTGAAGAGGCCACCACAAGTCGGACCTCGGATGGGCGAACAGCATGGGTGGGGTGAGGGTAACCAACAAGTTTTCTTATACACTACTTACTTTCATGCCATTTAACAATGTTTTTACTGATTGTCCAACAGTATTAAAGGACAGAAGAACATTTTTAAATGTTCGAAATATTCGGTATTAATATTTGTGATTCCCTCTCTTTTCAATTCCGATTTTGTATTTAAATTCGAGAGGAGGCAGGCATCGAGCTTACCCCTCCTCCCCCTTCCAACCCGAATGGTGATCGGATTATACATGATCACATCGATCCCAGTCAAACTGTCCCGGGCGGGACGGCTTCCGGGATCGGCGTGTTCCTAAAATAAACTGTAATTTGTCTTGCATCCAGACTTTTAGGTGTAATAATGCAATAATGAGTCGGTATCAGCGGATACTGCACTTAGCTGCAATGATGAATGCACAATAGCGTAGTCGGTATAGCGGCTGGCTACGGGCTGAACGACCGAGGTCTCGGAGTTCGAGCCCCAGTAGGGTCAAGAATATTCTCTTCTCCAAGTCGTCCAGACTGTCTCTGGGGTCCACCCAACTTCCTATCTAATGGGTACCGGGGGGCTCTTTCCCCTGGGGTAAAGCGGCCGGGGCGTGAAGCTGACCACTCGCCTCAAACTAGTGCCGAGGTCAAGAAAATGTGGATTTATATATCCACTACCCCATACGCCTTCACGGCGCAGTGCTTAATTAGATAGGCGCAGAGACAACTTCACTAAATCTATCCCTGTATGAGGCCGTGAAGGTCCATAGGGATGTGAGACGTTGAGGTTCCCACATTATCTAGACAATCGGCTCAAAGATGGCGGTAAGGTTGTCAGCCTCGCTTTACTCCTCAGTAATATTATTTAATTAATTTCTGGTACTTATTTCTGTTAGAGGCTGAGTCGACGCCAGGACCATAGTGCGAATGGAAGGATTAGGTCAATTGAAAAAAAGCCACTGACTTCATCGGGACTTGAACCCGCGACCTTCCGGCTTGTAGCATATCCCCTCAACCAACTACGCTAATGCGTGCTCCCTGGATACAATTTAAATTAGAATTTCCCAAGCGTCATGTTAAGTATCAACTCCGTGATTTTAGTCCGCAAGCGAACTATACCGACCGCGCGAACCGCTTGCCGGCGAAGTTAGTGCCAACTTTTGCGGATAGAGGGTGTCGCGTGATCAGCGCATAGAATCCTCACGGCCGTTAATTTCTGTTTTGTAGACCGGAGCCGCTATTTCCTTGAAATAGCTCCTCAATTGTTATCACGAGGCTGAGTGGACCTCGTTCCAGACCCACTAATTCTTAGAAAATCTGGTAGCTCCGGGAATCGAACCCGGACCTCTGGATCTGTAACCAGGAAAGCTGACCACTAGACCACTGCGGACTGCCATCTTGTAAGCATTCCCCAAGTTCAATTTTCTCTTAATTTCCTCCTGAATCAGGTTTTGATTTGTTACCGTCCTTCACAAATATCTGCACTGTGCCACATTTTCAAAACAACTGTTACGTCATGATATTGCCCTGCAGTTTGGTGACGAGACAGCAACATGTACTTAGTTTCCTTTGTGTTTACTTCTAGGCCAATCTCCTTACTAGGATCAATTAAAGTTTGTGTGTTTTTATTTATGATATCTACATTATCACCCAGTAGACTCACATCATCGGTGTAGGCCAACAGCTGATGTATCCCATTTAATTTCAGTCCCGCCTGGTTTTCCTGGATCTTCCTAATGGCATATTCTAAAGGAAAGTTGAAAAGAAGTGGCGATAAAGCATCTCCTTGTTTTAGACCATTCTGGATACGGAAATTATCAGACAAATGTTTACCTATACGGACTTCACTATACGTTTCGTTTAAACACATTTAATCAGCCTAACAAGTTTCATGAGTATCCCAAATTCTATCAGATTTTTGTACAATACTTCCCTCCTAACTGAATCATAGGCTTAATTGATGTATACGAATAGCTGATGTACTGTCTCATTGTACTCCCATTTTTGCTCCAGTGTCTGACAAATGCAAAAGATCTGATCTGTAGTTGATCTGTTATGTCGACACTCACACTGATGACCCCAATAATTTCATCTATGTATGAACTTAACCTTGAAAGAAGAATACTGAGCAAAATTTTGAATGAAGCTGATAGCAGTGATATTCCCCGACAATTACTACAGTCAGTTCTTTATCGCCCTTCTTGTGAACTGGTACAATAACGACTGCTTCCACTGACCATGTAGGTCGTCCTTATTCCAAACAGAATTAATTAGCTTATGGATCTTAGAACGTATTTCACCTCTTCCTTTAAGCAGTTCTGCCGGAATTTGATCACTACCTGGCGTTTTACACCTTTCCAACTTTGCAATAGAACTTTCAACCTCAAAAGGGCTAAGATCAGGTACCAACGGCTCAGCTGTGTGTATTTCTGTCTGCCTAACATCACTGACCCTACTTACATTCAGTAACTGAGAGAAGTAGTTCAACCACCTATTCAAAATGTTGTGGGAATCTGCAAGCAGATCACCATTTTCATCTTTCACTAAGTTACTTCTAGGCTGGTAACCCCTCTTAAATTGATTTATTCCCCTATACATGTCTCTAATGTTCTTGTTCTTACTGTTCGTTGCAAGTTCATCAATTTTGACTTTCAGATATTCCCTCTTTTTATTCCTGAAATGACTGCTGTTTTCACGTCTTTTATTATTGAAATTATCCCCATTTGTTTCGCTTGGATCCTATAACCACTGAAATTTGGCTATTACCTTTGGGTTGAATCATTAGCATCTTCAAAACTAACTGTCACTGAACATGTGGCACAACATTTTGGACTTCCCTTCTAACATGGAATCATACCATAAATAAATTGAGATAAGGACCAACCAGCGGTGCCAACAGGACGTGTATAATTTAAAGGTTAATGTACGATAGGAGAGTTCTATATTCAGGCGGCATGCCAGGGTGTAACGTCAGGAGGCCAAACTACCTGTCAAGTATCTAATATAAGGTACTCGTTCCATCGAAGCATGCATGAATATATGTAGCTACTGGCATGTCATGAATACATGCACAGCCTTTTACTTACCTGCCAGATCCGTAAACAAGAAATCGTAGTAGACAGTCATGGAGTTGTTGTAGAGGGCCATGGCTCCTGAAACAGGTGACTAACACATATAATTTGTTAGATTTTCGTATTTTGCGCAAAGATAGCTAACAGATACTTTCAAACTGTGGCACAGTTCAGATATTTGGGAACGACTATAACAAATCAAAATCTGATCCAGAGGAAAATTAAGAGGAGATTGAACTCGGGTATTGCTTGCTACCATTCAGTCCAAAACCTTTAGTCTTATCTTCTGCCGTCTAAAAACGTAAAAATGAAAATACACGAAACCATAATTTTGCCTGTGGTTCTGTATGGGTGTGAAACTTGGTCTCTGATATTAAGGGAGGAACATAGACTTGGGGTGTTTGAGAACAGGGCGCTGAGGGGAATTTTTGGACCGAAGAGAGATTAAGTGACAGGTTGGAGAAAACTGCATAATGAGGAGCTTCATAACTTGTACTCTTCTCCAAGTATAATTAGAATGATAAAGTCATGGGGGATAAGATGGGCAGGCTATGTAGCACGAAAGTGGGAGGAGTGCATATATGATATTGGTGGGAGGGCCAGAAGGAAAAAAGCCACTAGGAAGACCAAGACGTAGGTGGGTGAACAATATTAAATTGAATCTTAGAGAGATAGGGTCGGGTGGTATGGACCGGATTGATCTGGCTCAGGATAAGGATCAGTGGAGGGCTCTTGTGATCACGGTACTGAACCTTCTGATTCCATAAAATTTTGGGAAGTTCTTGATTAGTTGCACAAATGGCGGCTTCCCAAGAAGGGCTCAACTCCATGAAGTTAGTTACTTAGTTAGTTTAGATAGTTACTAAAGGCCGCGCCATAACTCAAGCGGTCAGTCGCTGGCTTCCCACAGCGGCACCCCGGGTTCGATCCCGGGTGTGATCAAGTGGGATTTGTGGTGGACAAAGTGGATATGGGGCAGGTTTTCTCCGAGTACTTCGGTTTCCCCTGCCAATCTTCATTCCACCAATTGCTCCACAATCACCCTCACCTATCATCTGGGGCTGGTACAATAGGCCAGAAGTGGCCGCAGTACAAGGGACTTAGTCCCACCCCACTAGCAATAAAAAAAATAGATAGTTACTTTCCGCATGTTGCCATCATGGTTGTTACTGCGCGCTAACGAACTGGATACGTGCGACAGAAGAATTCCGGTTCCTTCAAGTCAGTTTTGAGGAAAATGTTGCTTTACATTCAGTAAGCACGTTAGCTCGGATAACAATAAAATGTTACCATTTGTCCAACCTTTCAAATCACAGCGGTAACTGTATACACCACCTGCACTATCACCCAAAATCCTCGCAATTTACCTGCACTGTAGTTATGTGTACTCGCTTCGGCAGTACATAGATATACTAAAATTGGAACGATACAGAGAAGATTAGCATGGGCCCTGCGCAAGGATGACACGCAAAATCGTGAAGCGTTCCACATTTTTCCTTCTCGCTGGTGTCTCCACCCTATCGTGGTGAGGGGGTTTGAGTATGCCTGAGAGCTATACTAGCGGTAGCATAGCAACTGGTAGGGCCTCCCTTGCTGGACAGTTCAAAGGGTAGGCATCAGACGAAGAGAGACACCAGAAACCAAAAACTGATGCCGGAAACAGCGTCATCAGCAGCGACTTGAAGCACAGAGCAAATGATGCTCGAGATGCTTCAAGTTCGTATAGCAGCAGGCGTGACCAGAGTGGTTTGAACGGCTGTTGTACTGCGATGTGGAAAGCAAATGGAAAAACTACCACATTATCACTTTTCCTGGATAGTCTCTTTCAAAAAACAGAAGATCGCATTAAGTGGAGGAACTGTTTTGGAAGAGACTGTGGGCCTGTCGTCTGACAGATTACTGATGAATGAATGAATATAGTTATGTGTTTTGTGTATGTGTCACGATAAACAGCAACTATTTCCATAAACAGCATGATGCAAGCTTATGGTGGTTGTCATGGATATGGAGTTTCAGTCTGTTGGTAGGCACTGGGTTCTCACGGCAGTGACTACTGGACTAACATCGCGAAGCCTCTAGAAAGCTTACTAACGTTACGGAGGAACGTAAAGCCTCCATCTTGAGGGCCGAAGAATATGCCAAGCAAACAGAAAGCAGACTTTTCTGCTGCTTGTTGATTGTTCGGCTTACTGTTGACCTTGAAAACAGAGACACTATGTCTTTCCGAAGTATCAGCTTCTACTAGACTACACGGCGCCACATTCCAAAAGGCAATACTACTGTTTAGAGACAAAGTGTGCTCACTGTGAGATAGGAAATGGACTTATAAATATTATTTAAATGAACATCAGCCTCGAAGTGCTATAGAACACGTGTAAACGGCTGGTCACTAATGGCTCAACTGGAGTGATGATACATAAACACCGTTAATTTAAAAGAACGTTACTCACTACTCTTCGAGCAATCGACTGACAGCTCCTGTCCATCATTTTAGTAAAGGTCACTGTTCGAGGAACAAAGATGTTCACATATGTTGGCACGAAAATGTCACTACCAGACCGCGTCCTCAGCCAGTCCAATCCAGTACACTTTCAAATTACACATTTCTGTGGCCGTGTCGTGGGTGAGGTGGTTAGTAGCGGGCTACTCAGCTTGGAGCCTCGTGTTTAATAACAGGTCATTTCATGTGGGTTTCGTGTTAGATACAGCATAACTGGGGCAGGTTTTCTCAGACTACTGAGCTCTCTCCCTGCCAATCATTATTCCGCGGAAGTTTCGTATATATCAGTCATCGGGGACTGTTACAGTAAATCCACTGAGGGTCACACAGTACGCAGCAACTGACAGCCTCAGCTCAGATTTAAAATAAATATACCAATTTCTGCACAACAAACTCCGTGATTTTAGTCCGCAAGCGAACTATACCGACCGAGCGACCGCCGCTTGTCGGCGAAGTTAGTACCAACTTTTGCAGATAGAGGGTGTCGCGTGGTCAGCGCAACGAATCCCAACGGTTTTCTAGACCGGAGCCGCTGTTTCCTTGAAATAGCTCCTCAATTATCGTCACGAGGCTGAGTGGACCCCGTTCCAGACCCACTACTTCTCCAAATCGAACCCGGATCTCTGGATCTGTAGCCAGGAACGCTGACCACTGGACCTCAGAGGAGGTCAATTTCTGCGCAAAACAATTTAATATAAGCAAAGCATTTTATTTTTGATTTTCCAACTAATCACCTTCGAAGAGTAAGTTGACATTCTTCTGATGACACGATCATTATGGTGATTGCTTTGGATTTTTGTTAACCGTGTGTTTCTCCTGATGTACAAGTACGCTGACACGGTTCTTACATCCTTCTCTTCTATATACCCCTCCTTTCTCCCGCTGAACGCCAGCAAGCTCTAACTGGGTTTGTTTACGATATTTAACCTTTGCGGTAATGTTCAGAGTTCCTGGCTACAGATCTAGAGGTTCCGTGTTCGATTCCCGGCGCTACCAGATTTTCTGAGAAGTAGTGGGTCTGGAACAGGGTCAACTCAGCCTTGCGGGCATAAATGAGGAGCTATTTCAAGGAAATAGCGACTCCAGTTTAGAAAACCGAGTTTAACGGCCGTGGGGATCCGTTGCGCTGACCACGCGACACCCTCTATCCGCTAAAGTTGGCACTAACTTCGCCGACAAGCGGCGGCCGTTCGGTCGGTATAGTCAGCTTTCGGACTACAGGCCACGGAGTTTTTGGTAGGAAGGAGAAGTATAGTTATTGGTAACTAGCTCTGGTTATGGTAGGGCTGAGATTTCTTCCTCAGGGCGTTTTGCAGGGTCTCAGCTTAAGTGGGGGAAGAGAAGCACTCGGTGCAATCACACTCAACACTGTAAACACTAGTAATATTTATTGATATTACGGTAGAAGCTTCTACGAACACACGTAATACAATTTGCTATCAACACTTCACTTCAACTCACTTAGCATACTTACATGAACTGTTATGTATAATAGTTTACACAGGTAACTTGATCTTATGTTCATTTAGACTTTGTAAAGATGAACCGCGTTGACACAGTTTTTACGTCCGAATAGTTTAAGAGCTGACAGACAACTGACTCCAGAGAGTGATCCTCTCGAAATTCTGAGGTCCTTCGTCCTTATTTTCCTCTAGTATGACACTCCCCTAAATTCTACAGATTGGGAACATTTGAAATTTGGGAGTTTGCTACAATTTCTTAATCTCCAATCAGTTAAATGCAGTATGCGACTTGGACCCTTAAAGCCCTAACGGCGCTTTTGACAGCTCGGTGATGAATACTGCGCTTAGCGTTGGTCTCCAGCACGCCTCTTTTAAGTTTACGAGGTGCAGAAGCTGTCACATATAGTATTGGCGAAGATCGCCGTTGTCGCCCTTACAAACAAAATTTCCAGGAAAGACAATGGGGGTTCTTCCTGTGAAAACAGCAAGATGGGAATAAGTCGTTTCCTGCGAGTGTGACTAGGTCACCTGTTACTGGTAACTAAAATCTCTGTAGTAATAATTCTAACTATTCCTAAATATAGGGCACGGTGGCGCACATGTTCAGCTGACAGGAAGACAAAATAATAGAAATTTTAATCTTTTCTTATGTGACGCCGTATACAAAATTGGCATGCGCAATTCGTAAGAGCCTGCTGTCCCCATCTTCAGGGTAAAACAGCCATTCTTCTATCGTGATGATAGAAGAAGCGGGTACCTCCGAAACATTGGTACTTTCTCGTATGTGCCAGATTACAGGGTGTCACTACTCGCTAGATTATCAGAGAACCTCACAACTCACAAAATACAATATAACCAATTTTCGAAACGTAGTTCGTTCTGGAAAAGAAATTTGGAAGATGACCAACGTTCAAAAGAATAGTCTTAAACCCTTAAATCAGTTTCTACGAAATTTCATCGCCAATCGGTGCATTCCAGTGTGTACCTTACCTTACCTGCTCACACTTGTTTTCTGACTGACTAGTGGTCAAAGATTACGTAAATAGGAGCAGAATACTCGATCCCCTTATGCAGCATGTTGTTTGCTGCACGGTGACAATGACAGGAAACCCAAAAGAATTCGTGTGACGTCAATTAAAATATGTGGAAGGCAGAATTATTACACGCGATGTTAACGACTGAAAGGTCTAACATGAAGGTTCCCGTCTGCAAAACCAAAACCTCACGGGTAAAAATGCATACAAGTTGTCGTTCCGACGTGAGAAAACTTCACCGACAAGTAACTTGTTTTCACCACAATCGCCACCAGAGAATTTCTTCCAAGGAAATATAAGAGGAGGCGCCAAAGAATATGACACAAAATGAAGTTTAAACCCCTAAGAATGAATATTTACGGACTACTCTACTGTGGGGTAATATGGGGCATCGTTTAACTGAGATCTTACTTCGTATATATATATATATATATGTATATCTGTGACAAGGTGGCACTCTGGTGCAACTTACTCAAACTATAATCCTGTTTAAATACGGTTACTGCTACTTCTTGTGTGTGTATGTTTTCCGTTCTCTATTTTATCGGGCAGGTCGTGTGTAAAATTTTGTATTGCTTCGTATTTTGCGAGCTTCATAACTTCTACTCTTCGCCAAGTATAGTTAGAATCATCAAGTCACGGAGGATGAGATGGGCAAAACATGTAGCGCGAATATGGGAGAAGTGCATATAGAATTTTGGTGGGATAAGCTAGAAGGAAAGAGACCACTAGGAAGACTTACTCGTAGATGTAGGTGGGTGGGTAACATTAAACCGTCTTAGAGGGAGAGGATGGGATGGTATGGATAGGATTGATCCGGCTCAGGAGAAGGAACAATGGAGGGCTCTTATGAACACGGTAATGAACCTTCGGGTTCCATAGAGTGTTGGGAAATTCTTGATTAGCTGTGTAACTGGCGGCTACTCAAGAAGGACTCAGCTGCATGGAGTTCGTTAGTTAGTTAGTTAGTTGTGTTTTTGCAAAATAAATTGAGATAATCTGAACAATGTGGTATGTACTGTCTTCGCTGGTTGGAAACCGGGACCGTGGGTTCGGATGTTTCCTGTGAGGTACGAACTAAATTCTTATATATTATTCTTATACACTGCCGGTCACGGTAGCCGAGCGGTCTAAGGCATGTACTGTCTTCGCTCGCTCGGAAGCCGGGACCGTGGGTTCGGATCTGTTTCCTGTGAGGTACGAACTGAGTTCTTATATATTATTCTTATACACTGCCGGTCAC